TATCACTATGAGTAGGTAGTATTTCAAAACTTTATTTCGATTTGAATTTCTTCCATTTCTGTATCAGGAGAGTATAATACACGAAGAGGTCCTATTCTTTATTGAGAAGACCGGGCTCTGAACTCTAATTGCAAAAGAATTGGGGTTGGCACAACTGGCTCTTGGTGTGCATAAGTGCCGCCTGATTGGGCTTCCCTCGGAATAGAATAGAAACTGTTGTATCAGGAGAGTATAGTGAATATAAAACAAAGGTTTTTCTATACACAACAAGGAGTTCACGAATTTTCTCTGACTTAGGAGCCCTTCCTCTAAGCGCAACAGAAACCACTTCCACCAATTTGTCTTTGTTTAAACACTGTGTCAGGAGAATATAAATTGCGAAAAGGTTTTCCGGCTCCTAATTAATGAAGCATCTTTGAGTGAAGTGTAAACTTTCTTTATCTACTAGGAGAACATAATCAATTAGAAAGTCTTTTTCGAAGCTTTCCAACTCACCAACACCGTATCTTCGCTTTCCGAGGCTAATGTATCAGAACTGTCAAACCCTAGCAAGCTTTAAAGTTTCGGTTCCTACGTTTTGATCTGGAACTTCTAACATTATGATCTCTTGATATCGGATTTGTTGCACCAGGAGAACAGAGATGTAGAAAGTTGCAAAACTTATTTACAGAAAACGTCCTGATCCCCTAATAAGGGTGTGTCTAATTAGATTAGGATCGCAGAATGAAAAGGAGCTGCAAAGTTTGTGGTAGGATGCATTCGGTCCAATTTTTTTTCCAATCAGGATTACAGAACTACAAAAACTCGTAAAACATATTCTAATCTCATGAATTCATGATAGAATTTTTTTACCAAACAGGATCATAAATGTTCAGAAAATTGAGAAGAATGTGGGCTTTCCTGAGAAACGTTTCGGTTGCAGAATTTTTAATATCAGGACCGCAAAAAAACAGGAAGCTGTAACATTGTTACTGAGATCGCACAAATGCAGGTAGCTGTAAAATTTCAGGCTTTTTCGATTTCCTGATACAAACCTCTCGCATCAGAACTCTTTTTGTGGCGCAGAAAGCTGTAAGACTTATGATCCGACAATTCTCATACAGTCTGTTCTCCTAGTAAAGATTTTTCTCTGCAGAATTGTTATAGCAGGGTTACAGAAATGCAAAACGCTATAAATATTGTGTTGTTCTCCTAATACCTATTTCCTTTATCAAAATTGTTATACCACGACCACAGAATCGCATGTTGACTTCTTGAAATACATGCGTTCTTTAAATTCTGGTACCAGGATCACAGAAACGCAGATAGTTGTATAACTTATGTATAAACAAAGTCTTAAGTATTCTGATCTCCAGATCAAGCATTCTCTATCAGAATAGCAATATCAGAAAAAAAAAACGGAAAGCTGTAAAATTTATTCCATACTCACTCAAAAACAATCACGAGGGTGGATTTAGGAGATAAAGTGGCACCGGAAGGTTTGGGGGGTATGGAATTCTTTGTGGTCTCTTTGCTCCTAATACAACGTGCCAATCTACCTGAAAAATATTTTCTAGTTATCAGGAGTACCATTTATCCATAAATTTCGATTCACTTCCAATAAATTTATACGTTCCTTATTTTTCTCTTTCTAATATTAAGCTTGAGTTTCGTTTAAATTTTGTATCAGGAGGTAATAAGTGATTTTGGTCTACCAGGTTAACGTACCTACTTTAAGAAGTTTCTTAATTAATTTGTTTAGTATCAGGAGAATATAAGTGCCAGGAAGTGTTCCAGCTTCTAACTCTGCGGCTACCAAAAAAACATTTAAACGTTATTTAGTTCAAATTGTATGCTCAGCTGAGGTTTTGAACCGCTTTCGGGATTTCGGGAATTAAATTTTCGTGGTAATAAATTTAATGCGTTCGGTGGTCGTCCGGGGATAAACACACATTGAGAATCAGCCTCGAAGGCCCGTACTTTGACCGGTGCGAGTGAGTCTTTGAGAACGGGTAACAATAACAGATTTTTTTGGAACCCGAGGCGTAGTTAAATACACCCCTTTAGCCCTTAAAATAAAAGCAGCGGAGAACGCTTTAATCCGACTCGTCTTCAGATGAAGTATTTACTTTTGTTACGAAAAATAACCAGACGTAAACTCTGCTCTCGGAGATTTCGCAGCTTTATTGCATTACGTTTTTTCATCCCCAATCCTCCCACTGACAGCTGAACGGTTTTGCGCGAGCAATCGGATTTGTACAGACGCACTTTGTACGACGAAGTTGTTTGCCGCTTTAAAGTGGAACGTCATCGTTTAATATTGAAATAAGCTCTCCCGAGATTGCCCACATTTCGCCTCTGACAACAAAAAGATGGGATATCTCCCTGACAGGTTTTCATACATCATTCACACGTGATTAAGTATACCGGATTGTGAAATATTGGAAAGGAGCGCGGAAATCTGGAATGGGCATTTCATGAGCGAGTTGACATAATAAAAAGAGAGAAAAAGTCGTCCCAATTTTCCAAAGGATAATTTCTCGCGCGTCACCCGGCCGCTTATTTCTACAAATTCGCAGTGGTTATTCTGGGTCGACGAAAACCGGCCTGTCACGCACCCATCAGTGTCATACGATTAAACGTGAAGAGAGTACGAAGTGGAGATATCGAAATGGGATGTGGCACGCTTGATAGAGATAATTGTCGAAATTGAATTGTCGGTTCGAGACAGAAACCGTTTTTAAAGGCGATGTCAGAAAAAAAAAGTTACGATCACGCCAATACAATTAGACGCCTTATCGCCCCAGTTATAAGGATCGCTTTTATGCTATAAACGATTTATCACTTTAACTTCGCCGCTTCCTTTGGAGTGGCAATCAAAGTTTATCGGGAACGCTTCTGCACTATCCGTATTCATTAGCAGTTTCAGATAGTCTCGAATGGGAGACGTCAATTGCGTTATCATCGCAATTGCTCGCGACATTGACAGGATCGTAGTTGATTAAACACAAAACTGGCACTTAATGATGATTGACTCTAACGATTTTCCGTAAAAATGGTCTTTAGTCGATAGTCGTGCTTTTCGTTGTGGTAAAGTGTAAGTTGTGAACGTGATTGCAATTGCACAAAGTGCCCCGTAAGGTAAACGATCAGTATCAATATACGTGTATATATAGAGGTTCCCCCCATCAGAATTGTAATATTTTGGTAGCGAAATCGGTCTTGCTTACTGGGTGGCATATTTCAGACTGTGGGTTTATTGCCAAAATAGGTGTCACTACCTACTCGACAAGTTCTTGCAAATTTCGTAATGGGGGCAGTCAACGATCACTACAAAACCACCTAAGTGTTCAGAGGGACTGCTCATCACAATTGTAATATTTTCGGTGATCCTTCTCTACCGTACATGATCGTAAACTTTGCACGTAACACTAACGGAGTCAATGTCAAAGAGGTGAAGTACCCCAGTAATGCATTAAAACGTCTAAGGCTAACCGAGAACCCACTTACCCGAAACGACGAAATCTTTGAGGCCGAAGCTAATGGGTAATCGAAGTCGGTCCCAAGAACTTCCAATTCATAAAATAAAAGTGGGTGCCTAAATTTAGATTTAGCGTTTGCCGACGAGCAATAAAAATACCTGTTCTGCGTAAACCGAATAGCCAAGATTAAGGCTCAACCAATCATCAAGCCCCTCGGTCTGATGGTAAATGCCAAACTACTGATTTCTGTGGTAAAAGAGATGTCCGCCTCATACATAAAGATTGCAGGATTATTCATGTGCACTCAAAAATGGCGACCAATGTTCCACGGAGACAGTGATCACTGTCAATCTACGTGATCGTGTAGAGGAACCGGTCACCACGGCTGTAACATGTATTTTTGTTGTCAATGATCATTGCCAATGTACATGTGTATACAGTGGATGCGCCCATCACGACTGCATAATTTTTGTAACTGATCAAACCCGATACTATCACGTTATTATCGGGAATTGCATTTCTGTAATTATCGGTACCTGGCGATTTCTTTTTAAAAGAGAGAAACGAATCGAAATGTCAAAGTTCATCGTCGGCGGCAATTAACATTCCGAGTTCACCTCCAAATTGGATTTATAATTAAAGCAATTCCCACACCTTACAATACGATCATTATTTCCGCGCGACGTGGATTATTATAATTAGCTGAAAACTGTACGTTGTTGTCCCGTAGGAATGATCAATACGTTTTCGGTATCGAAATCGGAATTTATACACACAGACACGCACCGTTGCGGTTTGGATGACAAATGGCGAATCTATTCCCTCGTTTTTCCAACGTTCGAAATTCGTGGAGAGCGGAACGGAATTTAAATAAATAACTTAAATTTCCATAAATGACTTTTCCTTGTCGGTGTGGATTTATAAGGGTGTTGCCTTTTCCGACAGTTTGTTATCACAGGATGTCTAAAGTGAAATATTCCTCCTGTCACGATAAATTTTTTATTATTTTACTGGTCGTCATTTTTAAGAGGACCGTATTTCAGTCAACATTTATAAATTACCCAAATCAGAGACCATCAGTACCGCAGTTGGGCCTCAATGCGTCAATCGGAAAATTTAGAAGTCTAACGAAACAACCCCATTATTTGATAATAACTAATCAACACCGAAACGTTGGCAGCTTCAAGATCAAAGTCAACTTCATCCCTCAATAGTGGATTGCGACTGATGAAACAATAACTGGCAAGAAAGCGTCGGTGTAATAAAAAAAAAGGCCACCAGTTTCACGTTTCTTTACGAGAAAGGCACTATTATAAAGTCCATTCAATATTTAACGCTACCTTCTAACGTCGTTTCGGTGCAGTAAATACGAAAAGGGCGAAAGTAAACTATACTTATAAAGGCATTAATGGTATTAAAAATTCATTCGGCTTTCAGTCCGCACGATGCACGAATTTAATGGATATTTTCACTCAAACGGCGCAAGGGACTAATCACCCTTTGATCGCCGCTTGACGCAAACTGAGTAAATCGACTCACCTGCCGACGGCGCCTGCTGCCCGCCGATCTGAAACAAGAAAAGGATGTTAGTCAATTATTCATGGTATTATACACGTAGAGCCTGTTAAATTTACAGCGATCGATTCGCGAGCTTACTGTGTCAGGAAGATATAATGTACAAGGAAGTATTTATGCCTCGGCATGCATACCATTTGTCGAATAAGTGTGTTTTGTAAAATTTTTTGTAACCAGAGAAACATAAATGCGAGGACATCTTCCTTCTCTCAGAAGGGAGGTTTCGGAACTTTAATCTCCAAAACTTTCATTGAAGGGAGCGTGGGGGTATTTTGGAATTTCTGCACTTATGATGGAAATTAATTGTCGAAACATTGTACCAGGAGAACATAATGAATGATGGAACTTTTTAACCATATCAGGGAGACTACCGAAACTCATTGTCGTATAAATTTGAACAAACTTGAGTATTACGAGAACATCTTGCGCGAAAAAGCTATACCTTTCATACGTGGAGAACACGTGGAAAAAACTCATTGTGAGTCTTCGAATATACCAGGAGTTCAATAGGGAGCCAATACCCCCCTTCCGTCCTCCGCCCCGCCCCCCAGAACACTTTTACAGGAAAGATTCAATGTTGCCTTTAATTTAATTAGTGTAAAATCGTTGTATATGATGGAACAGAATCCATGCCCCCCCCCCCCCTCGATGATAAATTTGATAGTCTCTTCCCTAAAACTGCAATTAGAGCGGTGAGCCTGGCGCCTTTTGGAGAGAATGTAACCGTGAGAGAATACCCATCAAGAACACATCCCAGGAATGATTCAATGTTTTTATTACTGAGAGGGGGGGGGGGGGTTCCCGTTCCCCCATACTCAACCGTTTGGCAAGGTCTATAGTGTATTTCCGAAATCTGAAATTGGAGCGACGGGCCTGGCGAGTTTCGAGGAAAAAGTAATACCGGGGGGTTTGGGGGTATGGAATTCCTGTCAAGAACACATTCCAGGAAAGATCCAACGTTCCTTTTAATTAGTGTAAGATCTTTGTATATGCTGGGGGAGTATTCGATACCCCCCAGACCCCCCCGATGGTAAGTCCAATAGTTTCTTGCCGAAATCTGGAATTGGAGCGGCGAGCCTGGCGATTTTGGAAGAAAAAGTAACATCGAGGGATTAGAAGCGTATGGAATACTCCCAAGAACACATTCCTCAATGTTCCATTTAATTAGTGCAAGATCTATGTACACACTGGGGGTACTCCCATACCACCTAGCCCCCCGGTGGTAAGTTAGACCATCCTAAAATAGCAATGAGACCGGTCGGCCAGGCGATTTTGCGGGAGAATCTAACACCGGGGGGTGGGGGTGGAATACCACCCAAGAACACATTCCATGAAAGATCCAACGTTCCTTTTAATTAGTGTAAGATGTATATGCTGGGGGGGGGGGTATTCCAAACCCCCCCAGACCCCCCGGGGGTAAGGTCAACAGTGTCTTGGTGAAATCTGAAATTGGAGCGGCGAGCCTGGCGATTTTGGAGGAAAAAGTAACACCGGCGGATTTGGGGGGTACGATACCCCTCAGGAAGACATTCCAGGAATGATTCAACGTTCCTTTTAATTAGTTTAAGGTCTTTGTATATGCTGGGGGTATTCCAAACACCTCCCCCCCCCCTCCAACATGGTAAGGTCAGTAGTTTCTTACCGAAATCTGGAATTCCATGCCCCTCTGACCCCCTCGGTAGTAGGTTCGTTAATATCCTGCCGAAAACTGAAATTACAGCAGTAAACCTGGGGGTTTGGGGGAACCGGGAAGTCTGGGGGTATCGAATACCTATTAAAAAACATTCCAAGAAAAATTAATGTTTTTTAGTTTCGTGTATAAACAGGAGAGGGGGGGGGCTCCATACCTGAAATTGTAGCGGTTAGCTTGACGGTTTTGCGAGAGGTAAGTGTAAGGGATCTGGAATACCCCTTCAGAATACATTCCAGGAACGATTTAATGTTCCTTTTATTTAGTGTATTCCATAACCCCCAAACTCCCCGGTGATAAGTTGGACCCTTGGCGATTTTGGAGGAGAACACCGAGAAGTGTGGGGGGTATGGAATATCACTCAAAAACGCATTGCACGAGTAATTCAATGTTCCATTTGATTTGTGTAAGATGTTGGTATATTCCCCCCCCCCCCCCTCCCCCTCCGTGGTTAGGTCAGTAGACGGCTTTGGGGGAGAATATAACACATGTTAAATGAGATTTTTCTAACCCCAAAGAGAAGGCTCATATCATTTTTGCTTCCTCCTATTAGGAGAACATCATGTACATAAATCTTCGTGAATTTAAATATCAGGAGAACATAATGCGCGTGTTCACTTGGACAAAGGAGCGAGGGGAGGTGGTGCACAAATTATTTGAGTTGATCAATAAAGGGCAATGGATGAGAATGTGTTTGGGAACCACTGGTGTACACGCAAGAAGTTAGTAACTAATAGGAGGGCCGACTTTTCTCTAAATGACAAAGAAAAGCAGTGTCGTTGGTCTTGGACAAATGGTCGTTATCGTTACGGTGATCGATGACCACACTCAAAAGGAAATCGTAGGTTTCCCTCACAAAAGGAGACTGTAGAAAACTTTGCGTGGGACGTATTTGTTAATGGAAACTTACCTAAAGCCACGGTTCAAAGAGATTTACGTCTGTAACTTTCTCGAATTTGTTTTCAGCGTAACAAAGGGCATTCCGAACATGTAACTTTAATGAAAAACTTAACCGCACTTTTATCACGTTTGAACTGCGAGAAGGTCGAGTTATCAGATTTTCATCGGTTGTGCTCGCATACGAAATTCCGGGGTCATGAAACGAGTAAAATTTGTTCGCCTGGTTTCTCTTTCAAAGGTCGTAGAGAGTGCAAGCTACTTCTCATTGATTGGTCTCCTGACACACATTTCCTTATAGTCATTGTCAATCAACATTAAGAGCACAGAAGCGCAATGAACCATTATGGTAGCATGTTACCAGTTTCTTTTTTAATAGTTATTGTATTAGGAGCACAGGTATGTAAAAAGATTGTTGATGTTATCATTAGCATTCCTTCCATGATACAAATTTCTACTCTGCTCTCCTGATATAAATAACCTTTGGTATTTTGATAGGACGCAATCTCGTGAATGTCCTTAGGCACAACATAGCATTTACTCTGATCTCCTAATACCTACTTCCTTTGACGATTAATGTGACCAGTATCGCAGGAAAAGGTTTGAAGTTTGGCAGACTTCTTTTCAAGTATTATGTTTGAATTTAATTGTTAGGCGTCATATTCCCTATTCTGCTTTCTTGATACAACCTTCTATATGCAAATTGGCAAGATCAAGATCGGTGAAACGGAAGAAGGATAAATATCGCTATTTTCTTGCGCATTGTAAGACAAAATTAGATTGACAAAAAAGGTATAAAATTGTCGGGGGTTCGCAACCAACGTCACCCTTATTCTGTTCTTCTGATACCTTCTTGCACAATATGTTTGCGTGAAACATTCATTTTCATGGAACACAAAAATGGAAAAATTGTTACACAAGACTTCTCTCATACTGGCCTCCTGATACAAGCAAACTTCCAAGATCAGGACCACAGAAATTCAAGGTTTAAAACTGGCCACCTTTTCAGAAGTGAGAACATGAGAATATTTTGCCTAAAAGTTATTGTATCAGGACCCCAGCAAAGCAAAAGGTTCTAAAATTCATTGTCACACGGAATTTGATATGTTCTTCTCTCCTGATGCTAACTGCTACCCACAAGTCAAAATCGGGAGCACAGAAACACGTCTTTTCTGCGGTGCCATGTTCTCCTGATATGAAGTTCTGGCAAGATATCGCTCATTCATCTCTCCTGATATAATATTCCTTTTAAAAATTGTCAACATTAGAAACTCAGAAAAGCTGGAAGGTTGAAAGATGAGTGTCAAACATCTCGGGTTATTACGACGTATACCTCCTGAAAATTGATGTGAGAAGAGCACACAAATACAAGTTGGTAGCTGCGTTGTGAGAAACGAATTTTCACAATATTCCTCCGTTATTCTTTTGTCGCCGGGAAAACGTAATGGATAAAGGGGTGTCTTTCAGTATTTCAAATCTGGCAATTGGCTACCAGGAGAACATAAATACGAGGGCAATTTTCTCTTCTAAGAAGGAAGCTTTCTGAATTTTATTATCGGTTAGATGTTCATGAGCTTGGGAATTTCACAATCAGGAGAACATAATGAATTTGCAACATTTCTCTAGCCTCGTAGGGAACGACGATATAATTTACGTCCGATTAATCTGCGTGCATTATGAAAATATTACTTACCAGGAGGTACGTTTGCTCCTATAACGGAAAATAATTGTTGATAAATTTGTTGAGTGGTACCAGGAGGTCATAATGAATGATGTGGACTTCTAACGTCACAAGGAAACCTTCTACACACTACTGTCGCTTAAATTTTAGTGAATAATGCGCGCGAAATTCAGGAGAACATAGTAGATGCGGAAATTTTGTCTAATCGCTGATGGAAAGCTTTTACGCTTGATTGTGACTTTCAGGAGAACTTGACGGACGAGGAGGTCACTAAGAGAAATATTTCAACGCCTTACTCTGTTGTCCTAGGGGAATATAAAATGCGAGGAGGTGTTTCTGTTCGTAATAATGAGGCTGTAATATGGAAAACTTATTCAAATTTTCTACCAAAGGAACATGATGGACGAAGAGATCTTTGTCCATCACTAAGAGCAATATTTCAACGATTTACTTACTCCTAAGTTTTTACAAACATATCAGGATAATTTCATATGCAGGAGGTGTTTCTGTTCCTAATGCTCGGGGTATAAGACGGCAAACTTGTACAAATTTTCTGACTACCAGGAGAACATGATGGACGAGGATATCTTTTTCCATAAGTAATATCTCATTGTGACCTAAATCTTTACTAACATATTGCATCAGGAGAACATAATGTGGGAGGTGTTTCTGTTCCTGTTCTTAGTATCAAATATCAAACATATCAAAATTTTCTGATAACAGGAGAACATGGCGGGCGAGGAGGTCTTGTTCCATAACTAAGGGAAATATTTTAATGCTTTACTTGGTCTTCAGTTTTTACCAATATTGTATCAGGAGAATATAATTCTGTTCCTAATACTGGAGGTATATGGCGACAAACTTATAAAAATTTTCTGACTACCAAGAGAACATGATGGACGAGGATATCTTTTTCCATCACTAAGAGAAATATTTCAATCTTTTACTGTGACCTTAATCTATCAATATTGTATCAGGAGAATATAATGTGCCAGGAGGTGTTTCTGTCACGGGGTATAAAATTACACACCCTTGTAAAATTATCCTGACTACCATGAAAACATAATTGACGAAAAGATATTGTTCCCTCGCTAGAAGAAATATCTAAACGGTTTTCTCGTATAAATTAATGCGGATCACAGAAACGTAACATGATGTAAAATTCATTGTTGGGCAACATGCCACTGATTCTACTGTTCTGAAACAAATTTTCTTTGACTAACAATAGTATCAGGGGCAGAAGAACGCAAGAACTGATGTATTCGGATCAACAAATGCGAAGACGTACAAAATTTCTTGTTTGTTGCTTTTCTTTGTAAATCTATCACCTGGAGGTGCTAGTAAAAGGATTCCAGAAGTGTAAGAGAGTCGAGCAACATCTCATCCATTCTGCTCGATTGATAGAACCTTCCCATATGCAAAAGGTTTAAGTCTGTTTTATTAAAATTGATGTATCAGGATCGCAGAAATGCAAAAAACACATTCTCAGGTATTTTATTTAGGAAATTGGTTACGTAAATTTCCCGAAACGTAGATGATTCATTGTCTGCCTCACTCTGATCTCCTGATACAGCCTTCTTCAAATTTGAAAGATAAGGATCACAGACAGAAGTGATGATCAGAACCTTCTCAGGTATTGTCTCCCTAATGACAATTTTTTACTTAGAAATCGCTGTAACTGGAGCAGTTCACAAGTTTTATTCAATGTTTATGACCAGGAGCACAGAAAGTCTTTAGAGATATCTAGCGGGCATCAAAATCTTACCAGAGATTTTGAGAGCCTATCAAAAATATCGCTTTAAGACTAAACGCCTCCTATTAGAGGTAATGGAATTTCACTCAACATTTTGTCAACTGCTGGATCGACGTCTTATTTACTATTTATAACATGCTCTCGTAATTCAGTCGCTTAACGCTTCTGTTTGACGTTCAAATTGGAAAAGTTTCGCACGGTGCATGGCAAAGGCAACGGGCTGCAATTTCTACGGAAACAATTATCCAGTTTCGATGAAGTGTCGGCGACGGCGTAACGTATTGATTGATTGCAAAGTTCGCGAAGTGCTTTCATTTCAAATTTTAATCGGGGAAGCGATTGCAAGCTGCAAAAGCCTTGACTAAGTTAGAGATCGCCGAGATAATGCGGCGCGATTTCCGGGATAATGGATCATCAACGGCGCGCTTCCGGTTTGTACAATCTCTATTCGTCCAACCTTTATATTCAGTTCTAATCGCTCGGGCTCCACGATGAAGATGTTCACGCTCCTCGCCATTTTGGTTTCGATAACACCCCCTTGCCTAAATTCGGTAAGCTATCACTCCCTCGAGGGAGATTACACAATGTTTCGCAGCAATGTCGAATTCTCTTCGAGGATCTGGAGATTGACGGCTTGGATGAGAGACACGCCATGATCGTTGGTGCAGTCTACGAGGTTAAAGGGAGCGCGCAAAACCGCGCCAACGTGACCTTCCTCTGGAAGAAGGAGTTGCCCGAAGGCACAAAGGCGAGTAACATCTTAACCCGCTCACTTTCCACCACTTTTCGCTTTCAGATACGCGTAAAGGCGACCCGCTGGGCGAAGAACGACTACAAGTTCCTCATATTCAACATCGAACGGCCAATGAGGAGCTTTCTGGAGATGAACGCGTTCGGGATTTACGAATTGTGCCACGAGCAAGTGAGACCCCCGGCTGTTTGGCCCTTGAAGACGAACGTAACGTAACCGCCATCTTTGGGCTTAAGTTGTACGTCCTTTTTAGACCCTCTATCGGCTCACCGGATTTTATATGGACGGATCGAAGATTCCGCCAAACCTCCCGGACGGAAAATGGCGTGTTACTCAATCCATTTCGTTACCAAATAGATCTATCATTGCGAATATGACTTGGAAAGTGCGGATGGACTACGTCTAACCACACTTGAGCTTGTTGTCCAATAAAAATGGCTCTCCTGGATTTTATTCTTTGGGAACTAGCGGTCCTCAAACTTTCGTACTGATCAGTTTTCATCCCCCCATCCTCGAGAACACTTGCATTGTCACACGGGAATACCATTTTTTTGATTTCTGAATTATTTTCGACCCAATCTGTTCTAAACTCTCTCATACTTCTTCCCTGGGGTGGAAGGGGGTGGGGAGAAGTTTCATACCACCATGGGTATGGAATCCCCCCCCCCCCCCAAGAAATGAAGCAAACCACTCGCATGAACGTTGGTATAAATGAGTTTGGAACAGATGGGATCGAAAGGATTAGGATAGAGCGATCATCCCTTTCGAGGGAAAGGGACAATTCTTTTAATCACTAGGAGGGGGGATTCTATACCGGTGGCAAATTACAAGATTGAGGTGGGTTTTAGAAAACGTAACTCCAGGGAGTCCGGAAGCTGTGGAGTACCCCCAGGAAAGAAATATTCGATGACCCACAAATGAAAGTTATAAAAGAATTTTTAACAGATTGGATCGAAACGGTTAGAATCGTATGACCCCCCCCCCCCCCCATCCCTTTCGAAGAACAGTGGCCTACTTCTTCTTTTTCTTAGTGTTTCTCGGTGCCAAGTTCTCTCGCAGTAATGTTACAGCATCTTTTGACAATCTTTAGGCCATCGCAGCCTTGTGTTCTCCCCTTTTACAAAGATATAAAATTGGCCAGGGCTCTAAATATGGACCCCCCCCCAAATATCCACATTCCCTTAAAAAGGGGGGAGGCATTCGATCCTAACCCTTTCGACCCAATAACTCTCATTACAACTTTCAAGAGTGGGTCATCGAATACTTCTTTCCTAGGAGGTATTCCATACTATTCCGAGCCCATCGTTGTTATTTTTTTTCCATAAAATATTTAAAGCCCTCCCCAATTCAGTAAGTTTGGGAGGGAGGAGGATCCGATGACCTTCCCTCAAAATTGTAAAACATGCTAATGTCCACAGTGTTATCGCGTGAGTACGTGACCCTGGATGTTATGGAATACCCCCCAGGAAAAAAAAGATCTGGGCCCCTTCTTTCCTGGGGGCATTAAGGCCTCCCGTGTTACCCTTTTCCAAACACTCTCACGTCAACTTTCGTGAGTGGGTCATCGCGTACACCCTAGGGGGAAACAACTTTGAATTTTTGGTGTACGCCGCTTAGAATTAATTTGAACTAACATGAATTAATTTGATTAACGTGAACTAATTTGAATTAACGGGAATTAATTTGAATTAACGTGAATTAATTTGAATTAACGGGAATTAATTTGAATTAACGTGAATTAATTTGAATTAACGGGAATTAATTTGAATTAACGTGAATTAATTTGAATTAACGGGAATTAATTTGAATTAACGTGAATTAATTTGAATTAACGGGAATTAATTTGAATTAACGTGAATTAATTTGAATTAACGGGAATTAATTTGAATTTGAATTTTTGGTGTACACAAAAAATGGTACTTGTTTCCTCCTAGGGTACACCTTTCCTGGGGGGTATTCCATACCGGGGATATTTAGAGACTCGCCAATTATGTATTTTGACGAAGTGAAGATCAAACATTGGATCGCCTTGTCAAAAGATGCTGTAACGTTACTGTGACAGAAGTGGCGCCGGGAAACCCCATGAAAAAAGAAGCAGGCCACTTTCCCTCGAAAGGGGGGGGGGATGTCGATCCTAACCGTTTCGACCCAATCTGTTTCAAATCCTCTCATAACAACTTTCAAGAGTGCGTCATCGAATACATCTTTACTGAGAGGTATTCCATACCTCCTACACCCTCCTGTGTTGCGTTTTCCCCTACAATTTCCCCCACAATATTTAGAACTCTCCCCAATTTTGTAACTTTGAGAGAGAGGAGGATAGAAGGATGCGATGGCCTTCCCACAAAAATTCTCAGAAGATGGTGATGGCTACAATATTGACAACGTGCTACAGGGGGGGGAGGGGGTCTGAGAAGTAGCGAATACCCCCTAGAGAAAAAAGAAGAATTGAAGCACTTTCCCTCGAAAGAGAGGGTGTTTTTTACCGAAGCCTTCCGACCATACCTGTTCCAAACTCTCTCATGCCATCCTTCACGAGTGGGTCATCGCATACTTCTTCCCTGGGGGGAAGGGGGGGGGGGGGAGTGTTTCATACCACTATGGGTATGGAATACCTCCCCATAAAAGAAGCATTCGATAAACCACTCATGAACGCTGGTATAAGTGAGTTTGGAATAGATTGGGTCGAAAGGGTTAGGACAGAACGATCCTCCCTTTCGAAGGAAAGGGGCAATTTTTCTCACGGGGCGGGGGGGGGGGGGTCTATACCACCCAAACCCACAGGTGGCACGTTCTCATGTAATAATGGTACAGCCATCAGTATTTTTTGACAATTTGGAACAGATTGGATCGAAACGGTTAGAATCGAATGCCCCCCCCCCCCTTCGAAGGACAGTGGCCTACTTCTTCTTTTTCTTAGTGTTTCTCGGTGCCAAGTTCTCTCGCAGTAATGTTACAGCATCTTTTGACAATCTTTAGGCCATCGCAGCCTTGTGTTCTCCCCTTTTACAAAGATATAAAATTGGCCAGGGCTCTAAATATGGACCCCCCCCCAAATATCCACATTCCCTTAAAAAGGGGGGAGGCATTCGATCCTAACCCTTTCGACCCAATAACTCTCATTACAACTTTCAAGAGTGGGTCATCGAATACTTCTTTCCTAGGAGGTATTCCATACTATTCCGAGCCCATCGTTGTTATTTTTTTTCCATAAAATATTTAAAGCCCTCCCCAATTCAGTAAGTTTGGGAGGGAGGAGGATCCGATGACCTTCCCTCAAAATTGTAAAACATGCTAATGTCCACAGTGTTATCGCGTGAGTACGTGACCCTGGATGTTATGGAATACCCCCCAGGAAAAAAAAGATCTGGGCCCCTTCTTTCCTGGGGGCATTAAGACCTCCCGTGTTACCCTGTTCCAAACACGCTCACGTCAACTTTCGTGAGTGGGTCATCGGGTACACCCTAGGGGGAAACAACTTTGAATTTTTGGTGTACACCGCTTAGAATTAATTTGAATTAACGGGAATTAATTTGATTAACGTGAATTAATTTAAATTAACGGGAATTAATTTGAATTAACGGGAATTAATTTGAATTTGAATTTTTGGTGTACACAAAAAATGGTACTTGTTTCCCCCTAGGGTACACCTTTCCTGGGGGGTATTCCATACCGGTGATAACCCCCCCCCCCAAATATTTAGAGACTCGCCAATTATGTATTTTGACGAAGTGAAGATCAAACATTGGATCGCCTTGTCAAAAAAATGAACGAAGAAGATGCTGATGGCTATAATATTATTTCCAGAGAACGTGCTACAGGGAGGGAGGGGGTCTAAGAGGTATCGAATACCCCTCAGAAAAAAAAGCCGAATTGAACCACTTTCCCTCGAAAGAGAGGGTGTTGTTCCGAAGCCTTCCGACCATATCTGTTCCAAACTCTCTCCAACTTTCATGAGTTGGTAATCGAATACTTCTTAACGAGGACGAGGGAGGGGGGGGTGGGATTCTATACCCACCTCGGCACAGCGATATTATGTCAGAGAAGAGGATAGAAGGCTACGACGGCGTTCCGCCAACATTTTCAAAAGATGCTGATCGTCGTGCCGTTATTGCAAGAGAACGTGCTACCGGGGGGGCCTGGGGGCACACCTCCCAGGGAAAAAAATGTCTTACATTCCTTTGGAAGAAGGGGTCATTAAATCCTAATCCTTCCGACTCAATCGAGTACCTTTACCCCTCCACACCGCCCGGTGTTTCGTTTTCCCCTAAGATAGTTCGAGCCCTCCCCAATTTTGTTACTTTGAGGGGGAGGAGGATGCAAGGATGCAATAGCCTTGAGAATGCTCAAAAGATGCTGGTGGCAGGGTGGCTGTACTACAGAGTGTTCAACCGGGGGGTCAAAGCGTATGGAATACCACCCAGGAAAAAAACAAAAGTTGGGCCACTTTCCCTGGGGATTCCATACCCCCCCCCCCTCCTCACCGAAACCGTTTCAAGTCTTTTCTTCAAGGACGATCTATTTATGGCTGCAGTGCACAAGCAACTGACTTGGGAAACGGAAGCTGTAGCTATGAAGTGCCCCCCCCCCATTTCTCAAATCCGCGTAGAATTATGTCACTCGCTTAGAAGGACCGCCTAGCACATTTTCTTGTATTGAAACAGGGTTGGTAAACATTTAGGCCAAAATAAGACGCCGAAGTATTTCTCTTACTGATGGACAAAACCTCCTAGTCCATCGTGCTCTCCTGGTAGCTAGAGAAATTGCATAATACCATATAAAATCGTAGTTCACGTAATAGAAGCAGGAACACCTCCATGCACGTTATGCTCTCCTGATACTAGGTTGGAAAGGACTAAAGTCAAAGCAATGTGATGAAAATAAACTTCTCGCCCAACATGTTCTCCTGGTACTTTGTTTACAGCACCCACTCTAATGATAATTTGTAAATAGGGGAGGAAAGAAACTGTTTCTAGCCTCAAAAATGATAATAAGCGTGCTGTTGGATGGAACGCTATTGGTTCAAAGCATACCACCGTGCAGGAAAAAAAGAATAATTCGGCCACCCCCTCAAAGAAGAGAGTCTTTCTATAGTAACTTTCCCAACCTTTCCTTTGATTTTTGATGCAAAGGATAAACCCTTTCTATTAAGAGTTCATTCTAGATTTTTTTTAATTCTTTGGATGGAGACAGGCTGTTAAAGCCTGCGGGTTTTTCAATTTTTTTTTCATAAAGACATCTCCCAATGGATCAAGATCAAGTGAGATTTCGCTCCCTCTTAGAACCAACCAAATAATACCATACTTGTTATCCATACCTTTATATTATATGTAACAATTAAAAATTTACTACAAAACATCTTTTTCCTTCCAATTCGGCTTGAAGGACCAACTTACAATGGAAATA